AGAATACTTGATGGAAGAGTTGGGTTGAGGCTCAGGCACGGACGGTGGCTGAGGAGAGGCGTGTCCTTGCCACACTGAGGGTTAGAAGAAGAAAACTTGGCAGGCGGCTTCCATCCACCCACAGCCTCTTTTCGGTAACAGTGACAGACACAGCACACAGGATGAGAATTCCTCATACATGACAGTCATCCCCCCCGCCATTCAATAAAGAGAATTCCATTCACTACCAAAGAAAGACCTCGACTTCCCACACCGAGATTTTGGGCTTTTATGACATGTCACAAAAGGCAGAGCGAGGTGGGCCTTGTTGCTGTGTTAGGAGAGGCCGAGACGTGGGAGAAGCGAACAGCACCAGAAAGGAAAACGTGAAAGCGCGGTGCTGCGTTGCCCCTGCGCGCTCTTCGTGTTGGCTGAGAGATGCGAGTTAGCAACTTGGTGTTTGCTTTGTTTTTTTTTTTTTTTTTAAGATGTCCTCTGGTTGCTGGATTTGGCTTCTTTGATGACTGCATTGCCCTGAGACTGGACCCCAGGGGTAAGCGCTCCCCGGACAGCACAAAGGTGGGTCACCACATACAACAGGGTCTCTTCCTAATCCAACACAAACCATGTGATCCATGGTACTCTTAAAAATCATGTAACTCACCCTTGAATGGCGGGACTCGAGCCCTAAAAAGCTCAGACATGTAAAAAGTTACCTCTTTTTTTTTGTTGATGAAGGTTGGCCATAGGGTCCCTTTTCCTGGGGCTGTTTCCCTAAAACAGGAAGGAAGGCAAAGGAATTTAGAACATGATTTCTTCTTAAGCATACATAATAAATTCTGAAAAGTGAAATGTAAATGTGCCTCTGTGTGTGCGTGTGTGTGCATGTGCATTCATGTGTGTGTTTGTGTGCTTTGTGTGTGCTCATGTGTGGATGTGTGTGTGCTCATGTGTGTGTGCATGTGTGCCTGTGTGTGCTATGATTCCACCGATATATTTCACAGAGGAGAGCGGTTCCTGCTTCTGTGTCTTATTCATTGAAGCTATGCCTGCTCCCCCTGCCCCAGGCTCTCCTTCCAGGGCCAAAGTCATCCTTCATCTCATCTATTCAACCTAACAGATGCATTTTTAGGAAAGAGACCCTCCATGCATTTGCACCTCCGGGCTTGGTGACTTCTACATTCCTTTCATCTTTCTAAAGGGGGAAAGAGGGGAAGGTCAACACAAAGCCAGCCGTGGCACAGGCCTGGAGGAGAAGGCTGACCGTCCATAGACAGAAGGCCCAAGGCTGTTCTCGCTCCGCTTTGCTGCTGGGAGTGAGTGGCTGGGTGGCAGGCGCCCTCCATGGCCTGTATGAAACTTCACAAATGGCGCTTTGTCATACCGCCGAGGGATCTGGGACGTCCCGTGAGGTGGAATATACAAACGCCCACTGGATTAAGAGCCGTCAGACTGGTTCCCAAAGCAAACACTGAGCTAATTTTTCCAGCATATGTCTTTCATGTCTGGGCTGCTTCAGGCTTTGCTGGGTCACTGGGCTCTTTGTTGCTGCCTCCGCCGAAGTCCCCGGCCCCTCCGCCTCACTGGCTCCTGGAGTCACCCAAATCCTAATACAGCGTTCCGTTTCACTTGAGGAGCTGGAAGAGCCCCCCGAAGAGTTCCTCTGAGATTGGCCTCTGAAATGTGCATGTTAGTGAGCAGGAACCCATTGGAAGTTTGGGATCCCTTTTCTCCAAGTCCACAGCACATGCCGGCCTGTACAAGTCAGGTTCTTACTTCAGGGTGTGTCCCCGATCCTGTCACACGTGTCTCCTCCTGAGAACTGCCTGGTCGTGCTACACAGCCCTCTGACCCTTGCGAAGGTGCACCAGGGGCCCACGCTGTGTCAGGGTGGTCCCCAAACTCCTCCCAGCACTGCCTCCATTCATGCGTCGATGTACCAGAGACACCAAGCTAAAACGGAACAATCTAGAGTGGTCTTCAGATTTTCTGCCCAATTTCACTTTATAGGCAGCAACAAGAGAGTCAGCTAAGATGACCCAGTGAATGAATGGATAGCACAGGACCAGGGACCAGCTCTCCTGGAAAGTAGCCCTCTCCCCACCTCCTCCCAGTGGGCTGTACATCCCTGCCTGGGAGGAGCGAGGATCAGGTCCCCATGTGGCTGCACCAGGGCTGATGGCTTTCTGTGTGTCACTGAACCTGCAGCTCTCCATCAGGGCAAATAAATCATCATCGATGCTCCAAAGGCAGTTTACATGTAAACATGAGTGCTCCTCACGAGCTCTCGTCTCCTTCCTTATCCACCACCACTCCTGCTCCATGCTCCAGTGACCCCAGCCTGCCCAGAGTTCGTGGAATGGTCTGTGCTGTTTCAGGGTGCTGTCGCTGTGTGGCTGTCCCAGCAGCCTGGAATCCAGCCATCCCAGCCTGCCTTTCCTGACCCATCCTTTAAAATCAGCTCACATATTCCCTTCTCCTGGAACCTTTCACACCTTGCCTCTCCTTCAGCAGAATCATTTCTCTCTGCTTTGTGTTCCTAGGACACCTGCCATTCCTCACCTGGAGCTCTTACCTGGGCACCTTGCACACCTGTCACCTCAGTGGGCTGTGAGCTGCTTGAGGACTGGGCAGGTCCCTTTTTCTCCCGCCTCCACTGCCTCTTGCAGGGTACTGGGAAGACAGTAGGCACTCAATAAATGTCAATGAAAGCCTGCAGTGGGCACATTAAAAACAAAAATAAAAATAAATTAACTAAAATGTTAAGTATTGAACAAGGTGCATATCCCACAACCCCATAGGGAGAAGAAGGGGTAGGATATTGTCAAGCACTAAAAATATCCCTCAGGCCCTCCTAACACATCACAGTTTTCCAAAGGGTGGACCCGCTGAGCTGATCAGAGACAGGAAGAGGCATGGTGGTGGGGAATGTATGTGTTCCATTTCTACAATTCAGATGCCAGTTTCCTTGTTTAGGAGGGTAAAAGTGTTTAAAATCGATAAACCACAAAAAGATGGTTAAATTTTGTTATCAAGATTACACTTCTTGTGGCATTAAAGCTGCCGTGCCTTGTCCACTGGCCTGTAATCCCAACATTTAGGAGGCTGAGGTGAGAGCATCACTTGAGCCCAGGAGTTTGAGACCAGCCTGGACAACATAGTGAGACCCCATCACCTCAAAAAATGTATTAAGTTAGTTAGGCATGGTGATACACACCAGAGCTTCAGGCAGGAGGATTGCTTGAGCCAAGGAGATCGAGGCAGCAGTGAACTCTGATGGCACCTCTGCACTCCAGCCTAGAGGACAGTGCAAGGCCCTGTTTAAAAAAAAAAAAAAGTTATAAGGCTTTGCTTTGTGGAGCCTGTTTGGAGTTTCTGACATCTGCCATTATCCTCATCACCACCACCACCATCATCTTCATCATCACTGTAATTATCACCATCATCATCATGATCACAGGTGTCATCCTTATAATTACCGTGGTTCATGCCAACAAGCAACCCAGAGTAACTGTGTGGATCTAAAGCTACCTGGTACAGGCCGGCAGCAGCAGATACTTCTGGGAGGAGCTTCGTAAGTGGATGCTTTTCTCCCCAGCTCCTCTTTACACAATTATGGGTAACCAGGAGCCCAGCGTTTTTATGCACCAGCTGTAGCCTCACCTCTGTCCCCTAGTTTTACCCAGAGCCTGACCTCACAAGTCAATTACAGCTGTTTTCATTGTGCTCATCAGCTTCCAGCATCCACCCTGGCCCAGCTTTCAACAGAGGGTGGATTCCCATGAACTCTATTCTTTATGACCAGCTGGTTCCGATTAGAGATGCACCAATAAAGCAGGGAGTAATACAGTCGCCGCGTGTTCCTGAATGTAGCGCTTTTCCATGTGCTTTCAGTTACCGACTGGCCAATAAAACCCAGCCTTTCAACAAGGTGGATTCCATACCTCAGATGTTTTGCTCATTTTGGTACATGCAGGTTTTTAGAGACTGAATAAAAAAAGAGCAGGATGACATAGGCTGGGTGAGTGTGTAAGGGCGTGAGCTTTGCGGGGGTATGAGAGTGCATGTGTGTGCATGTGTGTGAATATGTGTTTGTAAAGCGTATGACTGTGAGAGTGTGTGATGTATTGGGTCAGATGCAGGGTGTCTCTGATGGGGCAGTAAGCATTGACTTCAGAGCATCTAAGGTTTCGGTACAAATGCTCCTTGTCAGCACCTTGGTTAAAAGGATTATGAGCAAAAGGAGAAATATACATTATGGCATTTTCCTCCCTCATTTCTATGAGAACGAGAACGATTTCTTTCCTTCCTAAATATTTACTTTCCACCTGTTGTTTCGTTTCCCTTTAAAGATAGTCATGACTTACCGGTTTCTCTTGCCTTCGTGCTGGATGGAATCGTTGCTATGAAAACGGCAGGAACGTTTTAAGGAAAGTCCCACATTGTAGCTTTGTGGCCTGGGAGAAGTTCTGTAGGGTTCCAAAAAGAAGAAAGACAACCTTCCCATTAGGCCAGCCTGTCAAAAGGCAGCACTTGATTGTTTTAAGGTAGTTCAAAGGTAGGTGGGAAAAAAGTCCCTGGAAAAACAGGCAGTGGTTTATCACAGCCCTCCAGAGTTCAAAGGTGCAGATTTGGTGCTTCTGCCCCAGGCTTGGTTCCTCAGTTAATTTTTTCCCTCCCACATGGAGAGCTTGCTTTGGGTGCAAACACCAGGCAGATGGAGACAACACAAGTTCCTCTTACACACAAGAAAATGGTTTGAGAACAGGAGCACAAGGAAGCTTCAGGTACTGCTCAGAAGCCTAACTGCATCTAGACCAGGAGATGGGCGATGGGAGGGATGGTCCCTGGCCCTGCCAAGCTCTGGTGCTGTGATGGCACCTTGCCTCTGTGGTTCTGCATTGCAGGCCTGGCTTGCTCCGCGACGATGCTATTCATACCTGAAACCCCACGTAAATGCTGTGGCTGGCATTCAGCTGGTGCTCAATAAATGTGTGTGCCTGAATGCATCGCCGGGGAAGGTGTGAGGAGGGTCCTGGGGAGGCTTGCTGAAGGAGGCAGGCTTGAGCCTGGTGGTGTGGATTCTGTTCAGGAGAGAAAAGATGGTTTTAGATGAGACTTGGAATTGAGTGTTGGAATAGCAAAAATGGAAGAATGGAGACCACCAGCTTGGCCTCCTGCAAAGAAGCCAGCATGGTACCCTTAAAAGCAGGAGCACCATAAGCCGTAATTTATCATTAATTTATTCATTCAGGAAATGAAGCCACAACGGTGAGTGATATCCGTCCCTCACTCCTGGAACTTACCTTGCAGGTGGGAAAGACAGAAAATTAACAAGCAGACAAGACTGTGAGATTGTGGCAGGTGCCTGATGAAACAGAGCACTGCTGGGGTGATCAGGGAAGGCTCCTCTCAAAAACTCACGATGGAGCTAAACCTGAAGGGAAAAAATGAAGGAACGCCATCTCCATGGAAGAGACAGGAGCAGCATTCCGGGGAGAGGAGGCAGCACGTGCGGAGGCCCAAGGTGGGCTCAGCTGGCATGTCCGCGAATCAGAGGAGCTTGCGTGGCTGGAGCTCAGCGAAGTGAGATTCTAGCACCGGCTTCTCAGCCTGGGCTATGCACTAGAAATCCAGAAGTCCAGGCTGCACCACCAGAAAGCAGAATCTGGGGGCAAGACTGGGGAGTCAGTGTTTTCTCTAGGGCTCCCAGGGATGCCCATGGGCTGCCAGGGTTGAGCATCCCGGTGCCGGGCTGGGAGCAGGTAAAGTGTGTTAGAACAGGAGAGCAGGGAGCTGGATTGAACACAGATGGTGACAGTGGAGACAGAAATGGTGCCATCAGGGAAAGAGGGTCTGGGCAGATGCTTTAATGCTGAGACTCCAAAGGGATGGCAGGGTGACTGAGGAAGGCTGCCCTACAGAGGGACGTTACTTGGGGTCTGAGGATGTACAGGATTTAGGCAGTTAAAGGGACAGGGAAGGACAGGAATGGTGTTCCAAGCTGAGCACTGCTTCCAGAGCCACAGATGAAGCTGGACATTCAAGGCAGAGACAGGAAGTTCAGGTGGCCAATGGGACGGGACTGAGGAGGGGACACAGTGCAGCCAGATTGTACAGTGCTGCGGGCTCACTGGAAACTGTCGAGTTTTCTTCTAGGGACTGTCCCCAAACCCAGGATGAGCATTGAGTTCCAGGAGTTTATTTGGGTGGATCCCAAGAAGCTTAGTAGGAGGAGCCTGGGGATGAGTGACAGGGAAGGGAAGGAAGCCACGAGAGGGAGCGCGGACAGTCAGGTTTCCCCGGTGGCCCCTGGACTCAGACCCATCAGAGGCTTCCTGGAGACAGTGGGGAGCACCCCTCAGGTGGTCTGCATGAACGGTGAGGGAGCTGGGGTATTGATCCTTCAACCTGAGCTGGTGGAGGCTGTTCCCGGGCCATCCACCCCACAGCAGCCCTTTCTGCCCCTGTGTAGGCTGAGCATGCTCCCTCAGCCAGAGACACTCACAGGATGGGACCACAGGTGCTGGTGGCAAGAAGCCACCTGCAAATGGACTGAGGCCAGCATCTGTGATATTAGCCTGGCTGCATGTTAGAATCATTTGGTGACCTTAAAAAAATATCTAAGGATATTAGAGTCACTTGATGAATTTTTCAAAGAATCAAAGCACACACAAGCACACATACACACCACACACACACTACACACATCATGCACAAATCACGCACACTACACACAAATCACACACACATAAACACATACACACACCACACACACCACACACACACATAAACATGTATACACACACATATACTATACACACATCACACACAGAAACATACACATAAACATGTACCACACACATCACATACCACACACATACACACCACGCACAAATCACACACACATAACACATACACCCCACACCACACACACACACAAACACCCCTGGAGGTTCAGGTTGGTCTGTGAAGCTCAGGCTCAGTATTTTTATCAGTATTTCGAGTGACTTCCAGGTAAAACCGGACAGGACCCCCTGCCCGAGTATCAAAGAGCATTAAATGGTTGTAAGCATGACAGCCAACTTAGCCTGAAATCTGTGTCCCAAGACTGTGATCACACCTCTTGGTCTGGGGTAGTTATGGGTGCTGGGCAGAAGGAGCCCTGCCCGGGGATGTGAGCAGGCACTTTTCTTTGCTTGAACATGATTGTCCGCTAAAATTTAATAACCCAGGCTTTTTCTCCATTTCTCTGAAACTGAGCAAGTTTTTGGTGGCATGCAAGGAAAGAAAAACAATCAAATACAAATATTCCTCACTTGGAACTTTTCAAAAGGACAATGTGTAGAGGAAATGTCCAGTTGCTTCCTTTTGCAGAGGGTCACTGCAGCGGCGTGAACTCCTGCCTCTGAACCGGTCACACAACGTCCCTCCTCGGCCCAGGAGCTGCAACGTCACTTTTCGGTAGAAGAGTGGAAATCATGTCAAACTTCCCATTAGGCCAGCCTGTCAAAAGAGAACACTTCATTGTTTTAAGGTAGTTCAAAGGTGGTTGGAAAAAAATCCCTGGAAAAACAGACAGGAGTGCACTGCAGTTCTGCATAGCACAAAGGTGGACGCTCGGGGCTTCTGCCTCAGGCTTGGTTCCTGGGTCGATTTCTTCCTCTCCCACATGGAGGGCTCTCATTGGGTGCAAACACCAGCCAAATGGAGCCAGGAAAAGATCCCCTGTGGAGGAGCAAGTGGCCTTGCTGGCCAGCAGGTGGAATGGCATCCTTGGAGAAAGCATGCTTTCCATGTCTGCATGAGGAGCGTTTTAATTTGTTACCATTGCTAGTCGAGGACAGCTGTCACCCATGTGGCTAGGGGTGGGCTTTGGGCTTTTCTTTTTTCTATTTTTTTCTATAGAGGGTCTCACTCCGGTTGCCCAGGCTGGACTACAGTGGCGCCATCTCGTCTCACTATAGCCTCAAACTCCCAGGCTCAGGTGATTCTCCCAGCTCAGCCTCTCGAGTAGCTGGGACTACAGGAACATGTCACTTCAGCCAGCTCATATTTTCTATTTTTAGTAGAGACAGAGAGGCAGTCTCCTATGTTGCTCGGACTGATCTCGAACTCCTAGTCTCAAGCGACCCAGCCACCTAGGCCTCCCAAATTGCTGGGATTACAGATACGAGCCACTACACCTGGTGTAGGGGTGGTTTTTCCACTTTCTGGTGAATATCATCATTTAATGTTCAGCTGCCATGTGCCAGGCAAGAAGTGACACTGGGGACTCTTGAGCCTTGAGTGGCTCCTGTGGGAGGATCGGGGAGCCCTTTCTGAGGAAGGTGGTGCTTTTTGGCTGATGCGTTCTGCACTGTTCGTTTTTTTTCTCTTGATGACGAATGCTTAGAAAACAGAGATGAGCAAAAACACCA